ACCAACGCCATACACTGACCACCAATACAATACACTGACCACCAACACCATACACTGACTCTAACACCATACACGACCACCAACACCATACACTCACCTCCAACACCATACACTTGACCACTAACATCATATAACTGACCACCATACACTGACCACCAACACCATACAGTGACCTCCAACACCATACACTTAACCACTAACATCATATAACTGACCACCAACACCATACACTGACCACCAACACCATACACTGACCTCCAACACTATACACTGACCGCCAACACCATACACTGACCAGCAAACACCATACACTGACCACCAACATACACTGACCACCAACACCATACACTGACCACCAACACCATACACTGACCTCCAACACTATATACTGACCGCCAACACCATACACTGACCAGCAACACCATACACTGACCACCAACACCATACACTGACCTCCAACACCATACACTTACCTCCAACATCATAATCTGACCAGCAACACCATAAACTGACCAGCAACACCATACACTGACCACCAACACCATACACTGACTCCAACACCATACACCTGACCAACACCATACACTGACCTCCAACACCATACACTGACCTCCAACACCATACACCGACCACCAACACCACGCTGACCACCAACACCATACACACTTGACCACTAACACCATACTGACCACCAACACCAAACACTGACCTCCAACACCATACACTGATCTCCAAACAACATATGCTGATCCCACCATACACTCACCTCCAGCACCATACACCGATCACCAACACCATACGCTGACCACCAACACCATACACTTGACCACTAACATCATTTAACTGACCACCAACACCATACACTGACCACCAACACCATACGCTGACCACCAACACCATACACTAACCACCAACACCACACTGACCACCAACACCATACACTGACCTCCAACACCATACACTGACCTCCAACACCATAAACCAACCACCAACATCATACACCGACCACTAACACCATACGCTGACCACCAACACCACACTGACCACCAACACACTAACCACCAACACCATAAACCAACCACCAACATCATACACCGACCACTAACACCACGCTGACCACCAACACCATACACTGACCACCAACACCATACACTGACCTCCAACACCATAAACTAACCACCAACATCATACACCGACCACCAACACCATACGCTGACCACCAACACCATACACCGACCACCAACACCATACACCAACCACCAACACCATACACTTGACTAGCAACAACATACACTGACCACCAACCAACCATACACTGACCACCAACACCATACACTGACCACCAACACCATACACTGACCCCAACACCATAACCAAACCACCAACACCATACACCGACCACTAACACCACACGCTGACCACCAACACCATACACTTGACCACTAATATCATTTAACTGACCACCAACACCATACGCTGACCTTCAACACCATACACTGACCACCAACACCATACACTTGACCACTAACATCATATAACCAACCACCAACACCATACACTGACCACTTCAACACCATACGCTGACCACCAACACCATACACTGACCTTCAACACCATACACTGACCACCAACACCAATACACTTGATCAACCAACAACATACACTGACCACCAACACCATACACTGACCACCAACACCATACACTGACCACCAACACCATACACTGACCTCCAACACCATACACTGACCTCCAACACCATAAACTAAACACCAACACCATACACCGACCACTCACCATACGCTGACCACCAACACCATACACTTGACCACTAATATCATTTAACTGACCACCAACACCACGCTGACCTTCTACACCACACCGACCACCAACACCATACACTTGACCACTAACATCATATAACCAACCACCAACACCATACACTGACCTTCAACACCATACACTGACCACCAACACCATACACTTGACCACTAACATCATATAACTAACCACCAACACCACACTGACCACCAACACCATACACTTGATCACTAAACAACATACACTGACCACCAACACCATACACTGACCACCAACACCATACACTGACCTCCAACACCATACACTGACCTCCAACACCATACACTGACCTCCAACACCATAAACCAACCACCAACACCATACACCGACCACTAACACCATAGCTGACCACCAACACCATACTTGACCACTAATATCATTTAACTGACCACCAACACCATACACTGACCACCAACACCATACACCACCTCCAACACCATACACTGACCTCCAACACCATAAACCAACCACCAACACCATACACCGACCACTAACACCATACGCTGACCACCAACACCATACACTTGACCACTAATATCATTTAACTGACCACCACAACATACACTGACCACCAACACCATACACTCACCACCAACACCATACACCTGACCAATAACATTTATTTAACTGACCACCAACAACATACACTGACCACCAACACCATACACTGACCACCAACACCATACACTGACCACCAACACCATACACTGACTACCAACATCATATAACTGACCACCAACACCATACACTGACCACCAACACCATACATTGACCACCAACACCATACATTGGCCACCAACACCATACACTGACCACCAATACCATACACTAACCACCAAGAAGATACACTGACCACCAACACCATACACTGACCACCAATACCATACACTGACCACCAACACCATACACTGACCACCAACACCATACACTGACTACCAACATCATATAACTGACCACCAACACCATACACTGACCACCAACACCACATTGACCACCAACACCATACATTGGCCACCAACACCATACACTGACCACCAACACCATACACTGACTACCAACATCATATAACTGACCACCAACACCATACACTGACCACCAACACACATTCACCACCAACACCATACATTCCACCAACACCATACACTCCACCAAACACCATACGACCACCAACACCAAAAAACTGAACACCAACACCCATACACTGACCACCAACACCATACACTGCCACCAACACTACACTGACCACCAACATCATATAACTGACCACCAACACCATACACTGACCAGAACACCATACATTGACCACCAACACCATACATTGGCCACCAACACCATACACTGACCACCAATACCATACACTGACTACCAACATCATATAACTGACCACCAACACCATACACTGACCACCAACACCATACATTGACCACCAACACCATACATTGGCACCAACACCATACACTGACCACCAATACCATACACTGACCACCAAGAAGATACACTGACCACCAACACCATACACTGATTCAAATACCATACACTGACTACCAACATCATATAACTGACCACCAACACCATACACTGACCACCAACACCATACATTGACCACCAACACCATACACTGACCACCAATACCATACACTGACCACCAATACCATACACTGACTACCAACATCATATAACTGACCACCAACACCATACACTGACCACCAACACCATACATTGACCACCAACACCACACTTGACCACCAACACCATACATTGATCAGCAACTCCATACACTTCACCACTAACATCATGTAACTGTCCACCAACACCATACACTGATCTCCAACACCATACATTGACCAGCAACACCACAAACTGACGACCAACATCATACACTTGACCACCAACACCATACATTGACCAGCAACTCCATACACTTCACCACTAACATCATATAACTAACCACCAACACCATACAATGACCACCAACACCATACATTGACCAACAACACCATACACTGACCTCCAACACCATACACTTGACTACTAACATCATAAAACTGACCACCCACCACATACACTGAACACCAACACCATACACTGACCACCAACACCGTACACTGACCTCCAACACCATACACTCTTGACCACTAACATCATATAACTGAATCAACACCATACACTGACCACCAACACCACCATACATTGACCACCAACACCATACACTGACCACCAACACCATACACGTGACCACTAACATATAACTGACCATCAACACCATACACTGACCACCAACACCATACATTGACCACCAACATACACCCGACCACCAACACCACACGGACCACTAACATCATATATCTGACCATCAACACCATACACTGACCACCAACACCACACATTAACCACCAACACCATACAGTGACCTCCAACACCATACACATGACCACCAATACCACACATAAACCTACCTCCAACACCATACACTGACATCCAACACCATACACTGACAACCAGCACCATTCACTGACCAACAACACCATACACTGACCACCAACACCATAAACCTACCTCCATACCATACACTGACATCCAACACCATACACTGACAACCAGCACCATTCACTTGACCACCAACACCATACACTGACCACCAACACCATACACTGACCATCAACACCACAAACCTACCTCCAACACCATACACTGACATCCAACACCATACACTGACAACCAACACCATACACTGACCCACCAACACCATACACTTGACCACCAACACCATACACTGACCACCACACATTAAGACCACCAACACCATAAACCTACCTCCAACACCATACACTGACATCCAACACCATACACTGACAACCAACACCATACACTGACATCCAACACCATACCTTGACCACCAACACCATACACTGACCACCAACACCATACACTTGACCACCAACACCATACACTTGACCACCAACACCATACACTGACCACCAACACCATACACTGACCACCAACACCATAAACCTACCTCCAACACCATACACTGACATCCAACACCATACACTGACAACCAACACCATACACTGACCACCAACACCATACACTGACCACCAACACCATACACTGACCACCAACACCATACATTTGAACTCACCTTTTCCTTGGGGTCGGTCGTTGCTATGTGCTCCCTCCAGAAGTCATGGTAGAGTCCTGGGTAAGCCACGGCCTTCACCGTTGGTGTCACCTGTAATAACACCATCTGTTATACTGTACCATCTGTTACACTATAACAACTATTACACTATACCATCTGTTACACTATACCATCTGTTACACTATAACAACTGTTATATTATACCATCTGTTACACTATACCATCTGTTTACCTCTACCATCTGTTACACTATACCATCTGTTACACTATACCATCTGTTACACTATACCATCTGTTACACTATAACAACTATTACACTATACCATCTGTTACACTATAACAACTATTACACTATACCATCTGTTACACTATACCATCTGTTACACTATACCATCTGTTGCACTATAACAACTGTTATATTATGCCATCTGTTACACTATACCATCTGTTACACTATAACAACTTATATTATACCATCTGTTACACTATACCATCTGTTACATACCATTACACCATAACAACTGTTATATTATACCATCTGTTACACTACCATCTGTTACACTATATACACACCATAACAACTGTTATATTATACCATCTGTTACACTATACCATCTGTTACACTATAACAACATATTATACCATCTGTTACACTATACCATCTGTTACACTATACAACCTTTACACCATAACAACTGTTATATTATACCATCTGTTTACACTATACCATCTGTTACACTATAACAACTTATATTATACCATCTGTTACACTATACCATCTGTTACACTATAACCTTTACACCATAACAACTGTTATATTATACCATCTGTTACACTATACCATCTGTTACACTATTACAACTTATATTATACCATCTGTTACACTATACCATCTGTTACACTATTACAACTTATATTATACCATCTTTTACACTATACCATCTGTTACACTATAACAACCTTTACACCATAACATTATATTATACCATGTTACACTATACCATCTGTTACACTATAACACCTTTACCATAACAACTGTTATATTATACCATCTGTTACACTATACCACTTTGCACTAACAACTGTTTATACCATCTGTTACACTATATCATCTGTTACACTATAACAACATATTATACCATCTGTTACACTATACATCTGTTACACTATAACAACCTTTACACCATAACAACTGTTATATTATACCATCTGTTACACTATACCATCTGTTACACTATAACAACCTTTACACCATAACAACTGTTATATTATACCATCTGTTACACTATACCATCTGTTACACTATAACAACTTATATTATACCATCTGTTACACTATAACAACTTATATTATACCATCTGTTACACTATACCATCTGTTACACTATAACAACTACACCATAACAACTGTTATATTATACCATCTGTTACACTATACCATCTGTTACACTATTACAACTTATATTATACCATCTGTTTCACTATACCATCTGTTACACTATAACAACCTTTACACCATAACAACTGTTATATTATACCATCTGTTACACTATACCATCTGTTACACTATAACAACCTTTACACCATAACAACTGTTATATTATACCATCTGTTACACTATACCATCTGTTACACTATTACAACTTATATTATACCATCTGTTACACTATACCATCTGTTACACTATAACAACCTTTACACCATAACAACTGTTATATTATACCATCTGTTACACTATACCATCTGTTACACTATAACAACTTATATTATACCATCTGTTACACTATACCATCTGTTACACTATAACAACCTTTACACCATAACAACTGTTATATTATACCATCTGTTACACTATACCATCTGTTACACTATAAACCTTACACCATAACACTGTTATATTATACCATCTGTTACACTATACCATCTGTTACACTATAACAACTTATATTATACCATCTGTTACACTATACCATCTGTTACACTATAACAACCTTTACACCATAACAACTGTTATATTATACCATCTGTTACACTATACCATCTGTTACACTATAACAACTTATATTATACCATCTGTTACACTATACCATCTGTTACACTATTACAACTTATATTATACCATCTGTTACACTATACCATCTGTTACACTATAACAACCTTTACACCATAACAACTGTTATATTATACCATCTGTTACACTATACCATCTGTTACACTATTACAACTTATATTATACCATCTGTTACACTATACCATCTGTTACACTATTACAACTTATATTATACCATCTGTTACACTATACCATCTGTTACACTATAACAACCTTTACACCATAACAACTGTTATATTATACCATCTGTTACACTATACCATCTGTTACACTATAACAACCTTTACACCATAACAACTGTTATATTATACCATCTGTTACACTATACCATCTGTTACACTATAACAACCTTTACACCATAACAACTGTTACACTATACCATCTGTTACACTATACCATCTGTTACACTATAACAACTTATATTATACCATCTGTTACACTATACCATCTGTTACACTATAACAACTTATATTATACCATCTGTTACACTATACCATCTGTATAATTATACCATCTGTTACACTATACCATCTGTTACACTATAACAACTTATATTATACCATCTGTTACACTATACCATCTGTTACACTATACCATCTGTTACACTATACCATCTGTTACACTATACCATCTGTTACACTATAACAACTTATATTATACCATCTGTTACATTTTACCATCTGTTACATTATACCATGTTCACTGACCTCGTGTGGTGTTAACTGACCGTGTGCTGGTGTTGTCTGTCTAGTACTGATGTTAACTGACCTAATGCTAGTGCTAAGTGATGAAGTGCTGATGTTAACTGAATGAGTGGTGGTGTTAAATGACCTAATACTAGTGTTAACTGACCAAGAGCTCATGTTAACTGACTATTGCTAGTTTAACTCATCTGGTGTGGGTGGGAGGGTGTTAACTCATCTGGTGAGGGTGAGTGGGTGTTAACTCACCTGGTGGTGATGGGTGGGAGTTAACTCACCTGGTGGTGATGGGTGGGTGTTAACTCATCTGGTGTGGGTGGGTGTTAACTCACCTGGTGAGGGTGGGTGGGTGTTAACTCATCTGGTGGTGGTGGGTGGGTGTTAACTCACCTGGCAGGGTGGGTGGGTGTTAACTCATCTGGTGAGGGTGGGTGGGTGTTAACTCACCTGGTGGTGGTGGGTGGGTGTTAACTCAACTGATGGTGGTGGGTGGGTGTTAACTCACCTGGAGTGGATGGGTGGTGGTCCAGGTGAAGGTGTGTGGGTGGTGGGTCAGGTCAGGGGCCACAAGGGTCACCACTAGGGGCCGGCGCAACACGCGGCTTGCTACCTGCCAAACACAATCTTTGTTAATCAGTTCTTAATTTGCTGCATCTTACTATCATATAACCCTGATTCCAAGAAATCCAGGTTCGAACCCTCAAGTATTATACAAAAATTCATTGTTATACCACAGATACTAGCAAGTTAAAAGGCCCCATTGAGTCAATTTTGACTTAACCGTGAAATGGAGGACGGCGCCAGATGCTGGTGCAACCAATTAATACGTATTGATAATTTTTGAGTAACTCGTAATACGAGGATTTTTTACAGAGAAATAATTTGTATTGATACTCTAATCTGTGGACACACTTAAAACACCATACAGTCATTATGATATTAATTTATTTACTTCTTGATAATACCTTATCTTTATTGGGTAAACCACTGAGTGTCGACACACAAGGTCATGTCCATATCTTGTCTCAGGCTTATCTTTCTATCAGCAACTACTATATCCTGGCTTGCCATATATATATATTGTCCATTAACTTTTCAAGATCAAACATAGAATATTGGCACTCATCTGGCCGGTCTATTTGTTTACATAGTTTTAGAAAGGTTGTCTTTTTATCTTAACATCTTCATAACGACGATCAAGTTGGCCAGTTACGTCTAGCAGTTTCTTACCTTTTAAGAACTTTACACGTCAATCACTGCATTTTTCAAACTTTCACAGGAAGAAGAGTTTGTTCAAAACTCTCTGTATGTTGACGTACCCAAGTTCTCTATATGGCGAGCTTCAATGAAAAATTTCCAGAAAGAGGCTCAAGGATCCAATGTTGAAGGATATCCAGGGATAAAAGTCAGGCAATGCTTTGGGACGTATCTGCACAGTTCACCCAACAACTTTGAAGATGCTGCTATTGTTTGATTTCTTTTTACCACATCCGTGGCCCAACATATATACAGCATAAGACGGTTGTTGGACAGGTCACCCAGAACTTATCAGGGGAAGCGTGCAATCTCCTTGGCCTACTGGAAGATGGTGGGTCACTGGAAGGACACATTAAAAGAGGCAGCAGCTACTCAATCGCCAATGAGATTGAGGAACCTGTTTGCCATCATGATTATACATATGGACTTTCCAACCCAAGTCAACTCTGGAAAAACCACCAAAGAAAGTCTTTCAGGGGATCTGCCCCATCAAGCAAGAAGAGAACATCCTGGTCAAGAGATTGATTTCATGGATGACATGTTCAACAGGGCTCTGATCATGCTGGAGAAGACAAAGTGATGGAGCTATGAGGAAAAAACCTGACTGATTTGGATTGCCTTCCCCCAAATAATAAAGGAGAACCAGTAGTTGCAAACAGAGTTGCTCAGAGACCAACTACTCAGTTGAAGAGTTCTGGTGAATTTTCTTAGCAGAAGAAAAATGAGCCTCACCTGGTCTGCCTGATCAAGCAAATGCTTATGAACAGATCTTGCAAGCAATACACGCGGGTAGGGAGGTATAGTCTTTCTCGATGCACCTGTGGAGCAAGGAAAAAACATTTCTGATCAACCTTCTGTTGGCCAAAAGTACGTCATCAGGTGAAAATTATATTGCTGTATGGCATCCTCAGGCATTGCTGCAACACTACCTAGAAGGGGAGGACGTACTGCACACTCAACTTTTAAGCTGCCTCTCAACCTCGCTCTGTGAAAGTCCAGTGTGCAACATCAAAAAAGGATCAGCAAAGGCAAAACTCTTAGAAAAATGCAGCCTCATAGTCTGGGATGAATGCACTATGTCTCACAAGTTAACGTTTGAAGCATTGGACAGGACCTTGCAAGACATACGAGAAAATGACCAGCTCATGGGTGGCATTACAATGATCGTGCTGGAGACTTTCGCCCAGACCCTACCGTCATTCCTCAGAAGTAATCCCAGCTGAGGAACTGAATGAAATGCCTCAAGAGCATCATACTTTTGGAGAAGTGTTCAGGAACTCACCCTATCACATTGTAGAGTACATCTACATGGATATCAGGATGCTAGACAGTTTGCAAACCTTCTACAACAGATTGGGAATGGAACTTTCCTGTTGATTCAGAAGGACAAATAATCATTCCTCAAGGATGTTGAAATGTTGTAAAGAAGTCCTCATCTGGGCTCACTAACAGATACCCAAACATTATCCACCACTACAAGGATCACAAGTGGCTGCGTGAACGCACTATTCTGGCACCAAGAAGATAGAGCAGTGGCTGAAATCAACATGACTACTCAGGTGGCTTCCAGGCAGTGTGAGGACATATTCAAATCTGTTGATACAGTAATCGGCCAGGACCAAGCAGTCCAGTACCCTGCAATTCCTTAATTCTGTGGGGCCCACTTTAAGGAATGCCTCCTCACCCACCTCACTCTCAACATTGGAACTCCTGTAATACTCTTAGAAATCTTGAACCGCAATCCTCTGCAATAGCACAAGGCTTCAGGTAGTGAAGAACATGATACCACATGTGCTGGAAGCTACAATACTGACAGGAAAAAGCTAAAGGAGAGGAGACGTTTTAATATAAAGAGTTCCTCTCATCACCACTGATCCATTTGAGTTCAAGAGACTTCAGTTCCAGGTGTAAAAATGGGCTTTGCCATGACCATCTACAAAGCAGGGACAGTCCCTAAAGATGGTTAGCCTAAACCTGAGTGTTTCCTTGCTTCTATGTTGGATGCTCCAGAGTGAGAGACAGCAAAAATCTGTACATACTTGCTAATGTGGAAGCCAAATGTGGTCTACCTTAATGCACTACAGTGAGACAATGTGGAAACTCCCGGAAGGTGGCATCCTACCGTGGCCTAGCCAGAAAAGAGCACGCCCAGTGCTGATTCCTCAATATATATATATATATATATATATATATATATATATATATATATATATATATATATATATATATAATATACTGTATATATATATATTATATATATATATATATAAAAAAAATATATATATATATATATATATATATATATATATTATATATATATATATATATATATATATATATATATATATATATATATATATATATATATATATATATATATATATATATATATATATATATATATATATACAGTAATGCCAATTGCAGTCAATTGAACCCACAGGTGCAGTGAAAACGTAAAGTGAACAACGCTTTATATGGGATTAATTCCAATGAGACTGGCCCACGACCCCAAACTCCACTTTTCCGACTAATACCTATGTTGTAGTAAAAATAACATCTTAATTTTATGATGGTATGCACACGTAATTAATATTTAAAAGCCAGTCACCATGTTAATGTCATTTCAAATAATGTAAAGCCACCTTTATGTTAGACTACGAGGGATGGTCACATTTAACCCTTGAGTCTGGAGAGTTAATCATCGTCCTCATAAGGTTAAACAAGGGTTAAAATAATGTTCTTCAAGGGGTTATACCATCATGCTCAAAGGGTTAAAGGGGCAGAGGATTACATTTTCGTCATATTTGCTGTAATAGTTGTAGTACAAAGGCAGAAACAGTGATGAAATTGCTATAGTAATAATAATGAGCCGTAATTAACGGTTTATTGAAAAAAGAGCACTTGGCCGGTAGGCTGAAAATATCTGATTACATAATTAGGAAATGGGTCTCTTGATTTACAAATAATATACACGCAACAACAGTGATACAAATAAGATATGTAATAACTAGGTGAGGAAAAGCTCAAACTACGAGGAATTTCAACATAGTGACAGTGCAAAAAGTAAGATTGACTGGGAGTGAATACACTAGTTGATTACAAGTTATTGATAATTTTTACAATAGTTGGGACTGGGCTGTTCTTATAGCGATCAGTTCGTGCTCGTATGGGCTTGGATGCGGCTGTGGTCGAACAGCAATTTTGGAGAGGGATCTCAAATTGGTAGTAGGGCGATGTCGAGATGGTGCAGAAACTTCTCACCAAATTTGCGAAAGATGAGGTGGTGGTGATGGTCAGTGAGCCGAGAGGATCAGTATGTTGGGCTTCTTGATTTGTGGAGTAGGAAGGGGAATAATCTTGCATGCCTCTTTTGCACTTTTTTCTAGGTGTTTACATTGTGTGGCATTTGGGAGGAAGACCAGGTAGGGAGGCATAGGTGAGCTTAGGAGTATAAGATGTTGAGTAAACCTTAGGAACTCGAGGGACTTGAGTCGACAGAGGAGGTGGAAACGGAATCTGGAAGTTGACAACTTCCACTGGCATGACCAGTTTCCAATTTGATTTATTTGCTTTCTATAAAAATTTGACGCCGAGGCTTAGTGGAATCTACAACCTGGGTGTGTTGGGGTGTTAGCCAATAATAACATTAATAATAATAAACGGTTTATTAATAGAGTTGCAGCCGGTGGCTGAAAATATACAGACTTACATTTGATTTAGACACTAATGATATATATTATACGTTGAATGCATTGCACGGCTGTACAGTACATAAATCAGGGTTGTTTATTATTTTAACAATAGATGGGATGATTGCTGTTCTATATCTCGGTGCTGCGGGCTCTTATGGGCTGAATTTTTATTTGTAGTGGCGGACTACTTGAGTTGGGTGGGGGGCTGCGGGTGGCGCGAGGAGGTGGCGATGGCGGTGGTGCAGTAGTCCACGGCAAACCTTTCAGTGTGGTGGTGGAGTCCTGAGGATGGCATTTAGGGTGGAGAAGAAGCGTTGGTGTAGCCCGGAGTGATGTTCTGCGCCTGAGCATGATTCTGCAGGCCCTTTTCTGTACCTTCTCTAGCTGACGGCGTTGTTGGTGGAGTTGAGAGAAGACGACCAGGCTGGTGATGCATCGTTGGTTTAGGGGGAGAATAAAGGCGTTGTAGATAGTTACTCAGCTCTGGCGTGGGTGTGGCATTGACCTAGTCTTCGTGTATGTAGAGACAGTCTGGAAACGCCAGCTGTGTTATTATACAGGCCTTCCAAAGTCAAGTTTGTTGTCTAGATTACACCCAGGGTTTGGAGGATGGGCACCCACTGTGACTGCTGGGGCTTGCGCTGGGTAGGTGGCGGTG